TTTGCAAAGTATTTTGGAACATGTACACTGAAAACTATTAGATTGTTTTCCATGAGTGTCAACCACTTGTCTAGATCAAATGCTAATTGCTAATTACGAATGATTTATGTGGAAAGGAGTATTTGTTTGAATAGATAACACAAGTTACATGCACCAGAAGAGCTTCTCTTGGTTGAATGAAGATTTAATAACCAAAATATTTAAGAACAAAATATGAAAAATTCTACAATACTAGTCAACATGGGATAAATATTTTTTGAGGATATAATATATTTTAGTAATCAAAGGAAAAATTATTATAACAAAAAAACATATAGCTGGTGCAATTCATATCAGAGCAATGTTGTGAATTAGTGATTCTCTGAAAATACGAAATTTCTCTGAAAAAAATTGATATATAATAAGTATCTTGTAGATATAGAAGTGCATTTTTTACAATTGTGATGCTAGTCAATCCTTTCCTGTGTTACCGGTTTGGATTAATAGCGATACAATTGAAAAAAAACTGTACAAGTTGAAGTCATCATCACATTCTCTATGTTATTCTACTTCCTGTGATTACAGGGTTTTATGCCATACGGTCATATCAGGTAAACTTTGAAAGTAAAAGGCAAGTTGACTGGACTTAACTCGTAATTAAGGAATCCTCACATTCCAAAATTTTCAACAGTATACTACCCATGTCTATCCTACTCCCAGCCTACAACTCTTTTGCAGCATCCTCGCATCCAACACCTTGGAGTTGATGAAAGGAGTACTCTCTCAGCCATTCGCTTAAGTCCGACTGACTTTGTTGAGAAGTTTGAAGGTTGAGGACAGCAAAGTTTCTGGATGCAAAAGTACCTTACAGACTTTGACCAAATTAGGAATTATTGAACATCACTTTGAAAGTTTGATCCATATGGATCGATCTTAGATGATGTTTCTACAATAGCAGCAACATGTGGAGTCCTAGAACCTACAATTGTTAGAAGTATTACTACATTCCTCGGACATGTGAAAAACAACAATGATAGATCTGAACTCTACATGTAGCATCTCCTACAACCTGATTTTAAACCAACTGAAACACAGCTAAAATGCTCCGTCAACTCCTTCTCCACAGTATCCCAGCAGCATGAGGTGTCATTAGTACCTCGATGAACGATCACTGGTCAGTTATGGTAAATATCTGTGAAGCTTTTTTTTAATTCAAACCTTACATACATTGTCTAGGTTCAACTTTTAGCCTAGAAACTAAAAATTTAGATATCAAACAATGGTGGTTGAGGACTTGTCAGCCGCCAAGGTAATTTTACCAAATAATTCTTACCAATAATAAATCAGAAGTTACTGAAAAATGAGAATCAAATGTCAGCTATTACTAAAGTCCTGCCTCTGATATTAATTCGCAACAAAGTTTTAAGAGCATAATGTATGAGTAACTCTCGCGACTTCTCTGTATATCTGTTCTCAGCTTTCTCTGCGATTTTGGAAAAACCTCAATAGTGCGACAACTGCTCCTAGATGATATTCTTAACTTTCGCAATTCAGAAGTCAGTGTTGTTTCACTCTGAAGTGCTCAAGATAATCCACTTTGACCTGAGTGGTTCTATGGCAAGACCTGATTCAGCCATTTTCCATTGCGCAATGGTTACAACAGTGCTGATATGATTTTCTGTCCAGCTCCAGAATCATCCACATCAGTGTGTTAATAAGAATAACACACTGCTAATAGCCATTGCAATATAAATAAGTAAACTCACTGACATCTATGTGAATTACTCGATCTGGAAACTGTTGCGGATTTGACGAGTTTCAGTCCGAAACCGGTCTGAAAAGCGGTCGACCCAAATGCTCTAACTGAAATCGGTTAGTAGAAACCATTGTAGGCCGGAAGCGGCTGATGCTGACAGTCTTTGCTACTCACCGTGACCTTTGTATACTCTGATAGCTGAGGGGGTAAGTTTATTGGTCGGACTCTATATTTCGATTTTGCTACTCGTCCTTTATATGGACAGTAGAGCAGGACTCCACTTCGTATTGAATAGATGTTAACTGATAACAAATAAATCGGAAACTCCTTTCGGTGTACAGGACCTTCTTCAACTGAGGATACACATCTGCTGTTGACAATGCATTCATAGGATGTAGTTCCTTGCGCAGAAGTCCGTACTCACATGATGCTGGCAACGACTGTCACATGCATATAAGATGCATAATATCGCCTAATATTATTCATCGTTATTGCAGGGTGCTCTGGGTCGATCAGCAAGGACGTCAAGACTCATTTCTGATTCTTTCTTTAGATTCTCGACATGTGGAAGCAATCGGTGAGAAGCACTTGCTCACAATTGTGTTCCCCTCGTTAGTAAGCTAAGCGAAGGCCTCTGGTGGGTACAGAAGAGAGGTTTGGCCTGGCTACATTATTATTTCTATCATTCCTTGGCAGACATCAGTTGCTCATGACGATGATGATGCTTTGGTCGGTGTATATATTGTAAGGTACTCTTATAAGTCAGAAACCCGCTTGAGGATAGCGGTGCTGTAGAGGTGACAGTCGGTGTGACGATTCTGCGGAAAACTACTTGTACATTTCTGATCGGGTTCGTATTAGAGATACCATGACTTCTATGTTTATAGAGTAATATATAATAGAAGGTGGTGTCGAACTTGGAAGCCCATAACGCGCACATGGAGAGCATACACCTAATCGAAACCAATCTGTTGTTGTTGGGCTCACCATCTTTGAGCTGGTTTGAGAGGAGAGATGGAGAACGGGTTGTTGATGCTTTCAGCGGAGAGTTGTGTTCTGCCCAATTGATACGGGGCGGCGTACGAGATACGCCATGCCAATATGGCGTAAGCTAGGAGTGGGCTTTGGATCTCACAACAGAAGGCACCTACACTGGAACTTTGATGCAAAAGAATTGCCGCAACTGATGGCCAGTTTACAGATAAGCTGGCTGGGTTGCCTGCCGTCAGGAATGATCGCTGGATATCCTTCTTATACCACCTTGTAGAAGGATATGCGTAACCATAAGTGGTTGTCTGTCCTTTTGTACCTTAACTCTTTCAGGGTAGATAATTTAAAAGTGGGTGATGATAGATCTGATCTACTAATTTTGTAATAACATGAAAATTTGCTCTATTTCTTACTTCTCATCAGGCTTAAGCGCAATGTGAGCTATAGGCATTCTTGTGTCATCTTCTTAAGCTTCCACCCACGAGTCATGAGACACCCAAAAGTGACTATCAATCAAAATTACGACAAAAGTTGGTGTCATGTATTTTGGCTTCAGGTCCATAGTGCACACGTAACAAAGATCCTCCTGCACCAGATCTATATTCCACTCACATTCGCTTGGTGCTATGTGCTCCCAAACTTGCTCTATGCCTAATTTAATGGTCGGAAACCTCCTAAGCTGACACATAGCATGAACAAGACCATTCGGAATAAAGGAGGTTTCAAATGTATCATGTAGCTCGAGATGTAGAAGTGAACACATTGGAGTAAAACATCCGGACAATGCACATAAGGGCATTACAGTGAAGGTTGCAGGTAAGTCACATAAGTAGAGCTACTTATTGACTCTGGTACCCAAACTAAAATTCACCCGGTGAACACGAAACAGGTCGGGCGTGTAAATGTATTATAGGCTAATAGGCTCATGGAATCCCGAATGGAGTCATAGAGTCGAATCGAAACACTGCGTCAGTTTTTTCCAAAACATGGTTGAAATGGAAGGCTAGACCAGTGTTAGAACTAGGGTAGACAAGTTTTCAGAATACTATTGTAAGTTGGAAAACCTGATTGGTGAAAATGAAAGCTTGGAATGCCGAGCTTGTGAAGAGTGCTCACAATCTCACGTATAATCGTCAATTTCGACAGTTTTGTGCTCACATATCCCTTTCCGAAATCAACGTTCCACATAGCTCTCTGGGAACAACCTTCGTGACCTTTGATGAAAAAAGACGGATTAGCCCCCCCCCCCCCCCCCCCCCCCTCGAAACTCCGAAAGTGATTTCAATGTATGTCCCTCCGTAGAAGATTTCTAGAAAAAAATTATGTTCTGTGTCGAGTGTTGCAGATGTACTTCTCGTCTACTACACCTACAAAGATTTGTTACAGAGGTTATCCTCTAACCGAGAGAACGGCTTGTGCACGAGACACCTAACCAAACTTGAATTGATCACAATAACTCCTGAAAGGAAATGGACAAAACGGATTTGAAATGATAATTCAGTCATCTAATATGTAAGGACCCTTGGACTCATTTCACCTCGAAATCAGCCGCGGCGTTCTACAGCATAGACAATCTAAATTTCGCTATTTGCAGGCCACCGGGTAGGAACACTGAGATAGTCTCTAACGCGTCACTATACGCGGGAGGAAGTACTATTACTTGAAGTGTTGTCGGCTTATGAGATGATGAAACATAAACACAGCACTCACGTTCAACTATTAGCCGGATTGTTACGCTGTCCAGGGATTTTAATATATCGCAAGGCTGTGATGAGATTTTGGATTTGTACAAACCTTTCTACCATCTTTGTGTAAATACTCAGACTGTGGCTTCTTGAAATTCCCACAACTTCCATGTAAATTCGGCCAACAAAATGCCGGAGCGCGGTTCGTAACGAACAATATCCGCTACACAGTCTTCGCTCAATGTGCATCTTAGCCCAGCTTTGATAACAATGCAAGTTTGAAGTGCTTTGATAACACGCAAGTTTCCCTTCGAGATTGTCACCTGTGTCTAACATCCATTACGGGTTTTTGGTAATAATTAACAAAAAACCCGTACCCGTATAGGATTCATTTGTCAATTATTGACAAACAAATCCTGCTCACACCTCTTGACTCGGAATACACAAACAGAAATATGAAAGGATGCAGGTGTAAGAGTGTGCTGCCCATGACGCCAACTGAGAGATTCTCCTATATGAAAGGAAATTCAGAACACGGAGACAGAGTGTCATTAACAAGAAGCCAAAATACATCCAAACAAGCTGCACCGAGACTCAAAGCTGTTGGTCAAGCTTTACCAGATATTCCACCAAGAGACTTTACAGATATCGAGCACCTCGGCCCTTTCTATCAGTATGTCCTACTGACAGTAGCATTATCGCTACCCCAGTGCTTACACTCACAAGGTAAGAAATAAGAGTGCTTTCACCAGGACTTAGTTCCCGACATCATCCCATGAGATCTTCAAGATTGTCAAGAAGTGAACAGTCACAAGGGTACTGCCATACCTACAGCGTGAAGAACAATATACGGGCTGTACGTTCTAAATATACATTACAAACACCTATATATTACAATTAAGTATGAGGGAAGAATCAGAGGGACATCAGACTCTGGTACTCTCGAAGTGTCTACTTCCCAGACCTTTGGTGTTGCTCTGAGGATAAATTGCTCCAGAATACTGTGGCTACGAGCGTCAGACACATCCAGACGGAATGAAGGATATCGCTTGTCGACGACAGCAGCATGTCCATCAACTGTAAATAGGTGTCATTCGTAGCAAATTTACTGAAAACACTTGGTTGTAATTACAACGAGAATATTTAAGCTACTATAACAAAAATAAGTTCCTTCCAAAAACTAAAGCACGATGTAAAGCCTGGCAGCTAAGGAGACGTTCGTTGGCTTGCTGTTGTGTAGTCACTGATTAGGTTCTCTAATCAGACAGCTCTAAAACCGATCCGTCGCTCATCATGTAGCCTCCAAGTCTCGACGGCATCCACCAAACCGGACAACTCCATCACTAACTATTCGATCGAGGTGATCTAGAGGAGGTCACTTTATCTTCACTATCTAGCTCAGAGCTTGGGGCCTACACGAGCCGGCCGTACTTTCAAAAAAATACATGAACACAGTCTACTTCTTCAAACTCGTAGCTATGGGAACAACAATAACCAAAATGATAATCAAAACGATGATGATAGCTATACACGTCCACTTGCGGGTGTTCCTTTGATGCTTCTTAGCAACGGTAAGATGTGCACCAGCCTTCTCGACATATGAGTGTGCTCTATTTACCTGTGACTCAATGTTGTCTAGCACCGTCCCTTGCGATTCAACAAGGACAGCCAAGTCCAAGAAAATTTGGTGCAGCTCTAGAAGACTCTTCTCAATCTCCTTGACTCCGTCGTGTCTTTCTTGAATTTCCTTAATAGTTTCAATAATCTGACCCCGACCCTGCTCCTGAATTGCCTTCTGCAAGAAATTTTCACTCTCACCCGTATCGATAATCTGCTCAAGAGTTTCCTCGTCTGGCTTCTGACCGGTGACAGTGTAATAGCGACGCTCTATAGTTTCCCTGTACTCTACCATAATCTTTGAACGGAGCGTGCCGAAGGACTCCATAAGATCCTTCAGCTTCTTCGTGAGACTATTGGTTATCGAAGATCTCGTTCGATCAGTAGGTGTGCCCTCCTCACATCCTTTCGTCCGTCGACTAGCAGCATTGGCTTTGTCCAGCTCTTCCAACTTCTGCTTAACAGATCTGGCTACTTTACTGACCTCCGCCAAGTCCTTGTCCATGCGATCCCTGAGAGCTTTCATAGCTTGCACCTTGTGTATGGTCTTGCTTTCTTCGTTTGAATCTTGAAGTTTGGCCAAAAGCGATTTGATTCTTTCCATATCAGTCTTGATGACATTCACTTCATCGAAGAAGCTAGCCAGATTCTTCTCCGGATCAATGCCTTGCATTTCCATCTCGCCTCCCAACTTTTCCACATCCCGCATGTTCAAGTACCCTCGCCCACCAGAGTACGTTTTCTGCAGAAGATCGTTCATTTTGGCAGATCACTCCACCGTTGACAAGCCTGGTTCTACAACCCGGAAAGTCTCAAGGAGTCAAGCTGGACGCACACAATCCAAATTTTGGAGAACGCAAGCACCTACACAAGTCCAGTTCAGGGACCAGAATTTTCGGCACAGAAGACTGTAGAGAAAACTAAAACACGCAGTTTGAGAACGTGGCGCAGAACTTGAAACAATCAGGCTGATTGTCGGCAGGTTTGGAGATGCGGCAACTGCAGACGAAGAACTGCCAACCAAGACGAGCCCGAGATGTTACTACACTGCCCCGTCTTCTATCGTCTGATCCTCGCTCTCGGCAACAGAGACGGACTACAATTGCACTCAGGACGGTCGGAACCAGATGTGATCCAAATTTCTAGTGCGCACGAAAGGCATCACACAGAAACGAAACGCAAGAGGGAAGCAAAACGCAACACTTGGATCCCTATCCTCTCCTTCCCGGCCTCCGTCTCTTATCGAGAGCGCTGCAGTGTCGTCCAGAAGCCCGTGCTGCAACGCGTTGATGAGAGGAAAAGCCAGTCACAGCGCAGAGCCATTCTCCGTTTGACCAGGCGCGACTCGAGAAACAGAGAGTAAAAGGAGCAACTAGACACCAACACGCACCGAAGAATAGGAGATGAAGACTTGCTGGGGTGGGATCACTGGGATGCCACCAGGAAGGAGAGCGGAGGTATCTGACCCGGCTGCTCTCAACCCTTGTAGGTCTTTCTCGGCCCCAACAAAATCAGCGCACTCCCACTTTTCCGCAACCACATTTGTGTAGTCCTCGAGGATGGAAGGAGCAACCGAGGTGGACGGACGGCGTGAATTGACCGTTGCAGACGACGCCGCCTCTTTGTGCAAGCGGCAAATTTGAATTGCACCCAAGGCGTTTCTGTCCCGAGTTTAGACTCGGGGCTGCCGTTGTGGTCCGGACATTGCAACTGCTCTGCCCTTGTCTATATATAGCGAGTTGCCTTGGAGAGGAAAGTGATAACGTGTTATCTTTTCTACTTCTTTCATTTGATTCGAATAGATGGAACTCATGTAAGAGTTGGATGTAATCTCACTAAATGCTACCATTAAAAGAAGAAACGAGGGTCGAGTGGATAGCGACAATTGTATTTCAACATTTCACCTGTTACACGACTACAACCTAAGGTCAAGTACATGCGTCTGACTTATCGTCTGATTTTATCACAATTGGTTCAAGTTTCTTTTTCACTTCCCATAATTTTAGAGATCAAGTTGTGCTCAGATGTGTGTAACCTTATCCTAAAATTTTCTTTACAAGAGTAAAAGATTTGAAACTGAAATCTGTCGGAGATTTTGGGGTTTCACTTCACAAACGAAATTTGATGTCAAAAAAGAAAAACTACATCACTGTTTAATTCTCATACCCAAATATATTAATTTCCATCTTTGTATGTTAATCAAAGTTGTTCTTCATCCCCGAATTGTATTAGAATTTAAGATTGTCTTCACCTAAATCAAACATGGGTCTCAAAGTGTAACTCACATTATATATATTGAACACACATGGTATCAATGTTGTAACAATTTTTATTTATTAAAACGTAAAATTAATTCTTAATTTTATTTGATCAATTACTCATTCTAGTTTTCCTTTCAAAACTGAGTCTTTTCAATTTTCATTCTTTAATTCCTACAATTTAGATATTCTTCTAAATATAAATTTATGGTGCTTGCATCCCAATAATTGAAACCCACATAATACTTAATGACATATTAAAATAATCACAAATAACTAGTTACTTTTTCAGCAAAAATTTCAATATAAAATATTCAAATAGATCTTCTTAATTATAAATTGATTAAAAAAACATGTAAGATATCATTTCGACTTTTTTATATTATTTTATTAATGGATGTTAATAACTCTATGTGTTTTGGGTTAACTCAAAACACATAAAGTATTTAACACTGAAACATATCTTCTAGTTTCTCAAGCTAGTTAAGCCATAATAAAAACTAGGTTTAACAATCACTATACAAAAGATCTCGTCATAAAATTCATTGATAATGTAGTATTCTATCTACAAAAGACTTTGTGCTATGTGGACTTTTCCTACTGGGGCAAACTAGGTAAGTTTTGTGTTGTGTTTGTATATTATTGACTTATTTTAAGATCTGCATTACAATTAATTTGAGAGCAGTTATAGATTGCTTGATTTCACAAAATTAGCTTAGAGATTATTTTATACTTTTGCTTGATTTTGTAATAAGTTTTCATGTAAGTCATTCCATCATCGTGAAAATTTATTTTGTTGTATTCAAATGTTTTACCCTAGTATTGCAATCAATTTGTTGTTTTTTTTCACAACAAGTGAAATTTTTATTTTTTCTTGTGAGATATAAGAAGACTATTTTATTTTTTATTTCAAAATCTCATAAATAAATTGCTCAAATAAAATAAAGCTACGAATTTGAGCAAGACATTGAGTATCAAATTGTGCATTTAGAACTACGACATTTGAAAGAAGCTTAAAAAAAGCTATGAGCACTATTATATTACATTTGCAACTTTTGATTTTAAAACAAGTGGAAAAGTATGATGATTTTACTCTGTTCTTTGAGGCTGTTGAACAGAGATACGTTACAAGAAATTGTCACATAGTTTGTATGACTCTTTAAAGCTAATAAAATTTAAGATGAAAAAATTTGGCTCCAAGATTACACTAATGTCTTTTATAATTTTGTTATCTATCTTCAAAATCTTTAAGAGTAGATTAATGATAAAACTAAAAGATGAAATCTTTTAAATTCATTCTCTTTTAAAACCAATCATAATGAGCCATTTGTTTGTAACTCGATTCAAATGATGTCAAAAATTTGGTTGCACTAGAAGTAGAAGAATTTATCATTTACACTATGAAATTAATAATTTCAGTCTAAAATCTGATCAAATATGATAAATCATATTTGATCAATTTACCATACATATTGTCCAACATTGTCTGATTGAGACTTTCAAAATCAACGTTTTGTTGCAAATAACAAACCATGATGAAATGATAAGTACTCTACTTCTCTTTTCAGTTTTTTTGAAACTCATCAAATATAACTCCCGTCATTATCAATATGTAGATTTTTCATCTTCTGTCAAATTTGAGTCTAAACTTGGACGTGTTAAACTTAAACATTCTAAACTAAGACTTTAAAATTTGTAAGTACATCAGACTTTGGTTTGAGTAAACAAACCTCGAGTAATCATTAATAAGACATACATTGCACAACTTACTAAAATATCTTCTAGGAAACTTTTCTTGGAGTATCAACACACGTCACTATGTATATATTGAAATAACTCCTTAAAATTATAAGTTTCAACATCAAAGGCTTGCATATGATGCTTGGCCATAACATAATACTCATAACAGTCTAAGTCAACTTGAACTATTTCAGATAAAAGTCTTATATCACCAAGAATTGTCAAATATCCAGTATTCATGTTTTTTGCATTAGAATTTCTTATATAAATCATCTTAGTTCAAGATTTAGTAAAATTGATTTCAGCTCACATGATGATGCGTTCTAACATGTAAATAATGATTGCACTTGCTCTTGAAATAATTTTATCACGTAATTTCACTCAAGCATTCACTTTCTAGAGCTCCAATTTTGAATCCAACATTCAGAGAGATATCAAATGCTTTATCATATAAATAATAAATTTAATATGAGTCAAAATATGTTGTATTCTATCAAAGATTTGATTTGGAACAGATACAATACCTTCAATACCACACTTAATCATTACTCATAAGAAATAATTAGTTTGATACAAAAAGAGCAAACCTTTTTTTTAAGTTAACAATTATGACAAAAACAAACATAATCTAAAATTCATAGATTGAACAAGGTATGTTACTCAACATCAACCTCTTGAATCACACTAGCTAAAAAATAAGAAGCATCTTTGACTTTCACGCGGTAATACTTCTTGATGAGATGATCATTTTTGCCTTATTTAAACCTAAATATGATCTTATTATATGGAGATTTATCTCAAAATTTAGTACTATTTTTACATCAAAAAGATTTTTCATCTCTGTCATTTTGTGAATATGAACAATCTCACATCACATTCAATGTCATAACAAAAGAACATGTTTTTTATAATTTATGTCATATATATTTTAAAAGCTTAAAAATAGAAAAAATCCATAAAAATATACAAATCTATAAGTATTAAATTTATACAATAAAATACGTTTATAAAAGTGCATGCTTTATTTTATGTGACTTGAATGTTCTACATAATGTAACATCCACCAAGTAAGATTTACATGATCAAAATAATAAAGAGATAGCTCTAATAATTCATGAAATTATGATGAGTTTTCAAAATAAAAATTAGTATAAATTACAAAAAATAAATAGATTAAATTTTTTCAAATTTTGTTGCTTAAATTTGTACATTTCTAAAAAGTTAATCAGATATTTTAATATTATATTTCAAATTTTAAATTATTTGATACACGTGATATATAGTATTTTAAAAATTTTACATAATAATTTTAATATTCAAATCACTTTGATTTATTTTATTGTTATTTATATGAATTTTTTGATCTTCATAAATAAAAGAATAAATTAAAGCTAAAAATATATAAGATTTATCATAAAATTAATAAATTCAGATCACATTTTTTGTAAAAATATTTAAATATTTTCTTTATAAAAAGTCATTAGTTTTGATGAGATTTTAAATTTTTCTATACCATTATGAATTGTGTATATAGCAAGTTCAAATAAAATTTTGTCATCATATTTGATTGTCTCATACTTTGCTTATCCAGATTTCAAAGCCCCCATTTTATTTCATCAACATTTGAAATTGTTCCTTGTGTTGTTTGAAAACATTCTAGAAAAGATTAGAAAGCTGGAAAAATTTGAAAAAAATTGCCTTATAGATTTTCTTCATAATTAGATTGGATTCAATAAAATTAAGTTCAAAATTAATAAGTCCAAGTTTTTGATTCAGTAGTTGTTTTCATTTGTTTTCTAGCTACGTCAATTTTTAGTCAAATCAAATCAAATTTGATAGACTACTTGTTTATTCTCGTCCAAATAGCAAGAGTGATCATCAGATCAATTTTGTTTTAATTTTTCACTTTCATTATGCAAAATTCATCACATTTTATCAGGATTCATGAATTTAAACATTTGTACAAACTAGCAAAATTAGCTTAATATGTACATGCCACGTATCAAAGTTGATTTGTACATTTTGCATAAATAGTATTTTATTGGTTTAAACCTCCAAGTAGATACTTCGTTTGGAAAATACACTCTAGTGACGGATGCATTAAGCAAGTTCAAAACTTGTTCATCTTCCATTTCAGATTGAAGAACTCGCTCTCCATAGACGTAACGTTTGCAAACAATGTTGCCAAACGACCGTAGAATGAGCAAGAATTATAGAATGAACCGATAGAAATAACCAGACCTCGTTGAAAGACAATTTGACAATTGTTTTGTTGACAAACTTACGCATAACGACAAGTTATGTATAATTTGTGAAGATTACATTGTTGGTCCTTGACCTTCTCAATGTCATTCTCGCTTCATCACTTTGCAAGATGAGCTCGGAATGAATTGAGCATATTTTTGATAAACACATCGGTGCACATATGAACAAGTTTTGAAGGAATCACAGGTGATGAATCTTCATCGAGGTCACGGTTATTATTGTCACACTTCACTTTGACGCCCATGAGATCAGAGA